TCAGAGGGGATGAGCAAGCAGCACTGAGGTGCATTTGATTTCGCTGAAGAGGGAAAGGCGAGGCATGAGCACCATGTGCCCTGGGCTCTGACAAGCCTGGCGGGAGGCGGCACCCCGTGCAGCCCCCCACTTCACCTGCCACATCTGCACTCGGGGGGCCTCCCAGGTGGTGACTTCTGCTAACGGAGTTTTTGGGGCAGGTGTGTGCCTCCATTGCATCCACACACCACATACACATGTACACACTCACACATACATAAACACAAACACACACCACATACCATATACCACACACAGACTCATGCACATGCATATACCACACACATGCACCTACAAACACACTGCACATGCCACACACATGCAGACACGCACACACACACTACATACATGCCCACAGGCACACTCACACACATGCACACATATATATGCACATAAACACGACACACACATTTTCCCCCAAAAGAGAATTGCTATATTAGGCTGTGCCCGTGACCCTGAGACACACAAAACAGTAATCACTGGAAATGACTGCATACGGAGCTACGCGGACTCGATGCCCTACTTACCTAATTATTCTGCCCTTGAGATATTTCTGTTTAAAGCCACCAGAAGAGTGTTGCCATAGAAACCTGCTGTGGGCTGCTGCTGGGCATCGTCTGAGTGGGTTGAAGCACCATCGCCACCAGCCACCTGCGTTTCCCATCAGCTTCCTGGGAAGTGGAACGCGCTGACGGCCACCGGCGGCCCTGTTGTTCCGTGTGGCTCCCCCCTGCTCCAGAGGGGCCACGTCTCAGAGCCGCTGCGGTTCCTGGGGGACTGGACTGGAGTCAGAAGACCTGGGCCCGGCGTTACCAGTGATTGCTTATTGGCAATGGCCTCCAGGCTGCCTGGAGCAGCGGCGGGAGCAGGGGCTGGCAGCTGTGGACACAGGGCCTGTCCGACCCAGCCCAGGCCCGGCCCGCATGGCGGCAACCCGGTGGGGTCCCACAGGAGCCTCTGCAGGAGCCACGTCTTCCTTTCCCCGTTAGTCCCAGAGGGAATTCGATCTGAAAGTAGGGTTCCCTGTAGAACAAGATGGTCCCAGCTGCTTTCTTGGATGAATAATCCAACAGTAACGAACTTCCTTTTCAAAGATTTCTAGAAGCAAACTCCTCCGTTTTCTCCGAAGGGAAAAGTAAGATACGTTTATCTCCTGACCAAAACGAGAACTAACCTTGGAAATGGAGGAAACACTGCTGGGATCTAAGTGGTGCCTCACAGCTCGGGGCGGACGGGGAGGTTCTCGGTTAGGCCTGTCTGGGGCGGAGGCGGGAGACGGGGTCCAGGAGCCAAGAGGAGGGGAGGCCCTGAGGCAAGGGGGAGCAGGGAAATTTCTCCCACATCCACACTTCCTCCTGTAACCCCCCTCTCACTCAGCGCGACAGCCAGAAAGACAAGGAGCAAAAATGACACGCATAAAACTGGACCCACGCCCCGCCTCCAGGCTGGGCAGACAGGGACCTCAGGCGAGGCCTGAACTGAGGGTGGCACCAGGCCTGCCCTCCTGCCCGCCCCTCCCCCGTCTAACCTACCTCTGGGCCCACTGGGACCACAAGCCCAGTCCCCCTGCTCCACACCTGACCTGATGCTCCACTTGTACTTTCCCTCCCTCGGCGGGAAGCGTGGTTCACCATCAACGCGCCCCATTTCCGGATGACCTGAAATGGGGAGGGAGCCATCTCCGCGCACCCTGACGCCGTCTTTCCAAGTGCTTTAGCCCTTTTCTGCCCCGGGGTGGGGGTGCGGAGGGGGGGGCTGTGAGGGCGCTGTGCGGGCTGCTGGCTGGGCAGGGACAGGGTGGGCATTCATTCCCATTTGTGGGTGTGGCGGGGCTCGGTGGGCAGGGCCCACGGATGGGCTGGGGTTTCCCATCCTGTGCTGGAAGCTCTTAGAAAGAGCCCCTGAAGGAAATGCTCCCCACGGAACCTGACTTTTCCTCTGAAAGTTGAATCTGGCTTCAATGGTGCGACAGAGCATTAAGGTGCGCAGCCGCCAGCAACCCAGTGTCCCGGCCCCTCGGCCCCGATTCCGGACATGCAGTCAATCCCACTGTCGCACCTGCTGAGACCAGGTGGGAGGAAGCCGGTGCAGGTCCCGAGACCCCGGGGCTCCTCTGCTCGGCCTCCCCCACGGGAGCCGCTGGCTCCTCAGGACACCGATCCGGCTGCCCTCGGGTTTCTCGGGCCTCGGGCAAGGCTTTCAGACAGGTGGGCGCCAGCCTGCCCCCTCTCCCCTTTGAAAAGAGGTCGGTCCTGGGCGCGGCAGCTCTCGGCCTCCAGAGGCCCCGCCAGCCTGAGCGCTCCACACCAAGGTCACGGTCAGAGGCCCGGAGGTTCGGGGAGGGGTGCGGGGACCGGGAGCCCTCAGCCCACACGGCAGCCACGAGAGGGGTTAGGAGGCACAGCCGTGGGTTGCCAGTTGGGCGTGTTTATGATCAGAACTCATTTCCATTGCTACTGGATTTTCTGAGGGGCCCCTGGGATTAATCGGAGCATGTTGTATTTTTTGAAACCTGTGTTCTCCCTCAGGGCTTCTCACGGCTCGGCTTCCGTGAGACCCTCTTGTCCCTCCTAACGGACTCGACCCATGTCTCTCTCCCTTCCTCTCTCTAAAAATAAATAAACACATACATACATATCCTCGGGAGGATTAAAAATGCCTAATTAAGAAGTAATTAAAGAAGTGAAGTTGACACACGTGGACGGGTGAGCAGAGGGCCTGGTTTCCATGACCGGGCAGTGAATGTCGTGCCACTGGCTCTCTGGGAGAAAGAGCGAGTCCTCGGTGAAGGGAGCGCGCACCATTACTACTGTGTTTTGTCGTCCACCACGTGTAACCCCACAATCACAATCTGCGGCTCTGTTAGAAGCTGTGACAGTGGCAAGTCATGTCCCCTACCATTTCTTCCTGC